AAAACTTACAAGTGATGGATACATTTTTAGAGTAACATGACCCACCTAAACTTACACAGAGTGAAGTATAAAACCTGAACAGACTCATAACAAAAGAAGAAATTGATCAGGTCATCAAAAAACTCCCAACCAAAAAAAGTCCAGGTCCAGATGGCTTCACTGGTGAGTTCTACCAAATATTCAGGAAAGAGCCGTCACCAAATCTATTCAAATTATTCCAGAAGATAGAAGACGATGAAAAACGTCCTAATACATTTTATGAAGCAAGCATAACCCTTATACCAAAACCAGGGAAGGACATCACTAAGAAAAATATATATATATAGAACAGGATCCCTCATGAACATAGATGCAAAAATTCTCAACAAAATCTTAGCCAACAGAATCCAGCAGCACATCAAAAAGATAATACATCATGATCAAGTGTGATTCATATCAGGGATGCAAGGATAGTTCAACGTTAGAAAAACGATCATTGTAATCCATTATGTAAGTAAAAAAAAAAAAAAATGAAAAGAACCATATGATCTTATCAATTGATGCAGAAAAGGCTTTTGACAAAATCCAACATCCATTCTTGATAAAAACACTCAACAAAGTAGGAATTGAAGGGAAATTCCTCAACATAATAAAGAGCATATATACAAAACCAACAGCCTATATTACTCTCAATGGAGAGAAATTGAAAGCCTTCCCTCTGTGAACAGGAACCAGACAAAGATACCCTTTGTCACCACTCTTATTCAATATTGTGCTGGAAGTCTTAGCAAGAGCTATTTGGCAAGACAGGGAAATTAAAGGCATCCAAACTGGCAAAGGAGAAGTAAAACTCTGTATTTGCAGACGATATGATCCTATACATAGAAAACCCCAAAGACTCAGCATAAAAACTACTAGACCTCATTGGAAGATTCAGGAAAGTGGCAGGATATAAGATCAATATACAAAAATCAGTTGGATTTCTGTATACCAGGAACGACAGCATTGAAAAGGACATTAGGAAAGCAATACCATTTATAATAGTTTCCCAAAGGATGAAATATCTAGGGGGAAAAATGTAACCAGAGAAACAAAGGACTTATACAAAGAAAACTAGAAAACACTACTACAAGAAACCAAAAGAGACCTACAAAAATGGAAGACTGTACCATGCTCCTGGATAGGAAGACTTAACATTGTGAAAATGTCAATACTGTCAAGAGCAATTTACACATATAGTGCAATCCCAATGCAGATTCCAAAGACATTCTTCAAAGAGATAGAAAAACAATTACAAAAAGAACCCATACTAAAGGGGTGTGGGAGGGATCCTTTGCTGGTTACTGGAATGTGGGAGATGGGGTGAGGAGAGGGATGGGAAGGTGAAGCACAGGGTAGGGAATAGACACAGAATAGTTTGGGTGCTAGGGAGGGGTATACCTTTTGGTTGGTTGATGATGCATGGAGGGGATTGTAACCATGGCAATGAAACAATATACGATAGGATGAATGTAAAGCTAATGTTCTGCTATTTATCACATAATTCACAATAATTTTTTTTTTTAATTGTGGCTTCTGAGGGGATCTACTGAGTCAGTTAAATTCAAAGCATAGAGAACTGGTTAGAATAGTATAGTGACTATCTTTTGGGATTGCAAACAAGTAACCTTGAGAGATTTTTCTCAAAGGACATACAATAATCATATAATTTATAAGACAGTTATTTCAAGAATATTGAAATCATCCTGAGTGATAAAAGGCCAGGAAATTTGCACATAGAATTTGTGTTGGTGTTGTTGTTTTTCTGTCATAACAATGTACTTATTCCTTCAAAGGCTGTCCTATGAGAATTCTGTTAGGAAGCCTTACCCCATTCACCCTATGGCCCTGATCTTGCCACTTCAGACTTCTCTTTGCTACCAAAATTTGAAAACATTTTGAAAGCAACACTATTTGAGTCCATAAGGAGCCCTGGTAGCATATTGGATTTTGAGCTGGACTGCTAAGTGAAAGGTCAGTAGTTTGAATCTACCAGTCACTCCTTGGAAGAAAGATAGGGTTTTCTACTGTAAAGATTTATAGTCTCAGAAACCCTGTATAGTATTGCTATGAGTCAGAACTGATTGACAGCACACAACCACCACCAGGACCATTTGAGTCCATTGCAGATGCCCAGACTTCCATTTGGGTGTGATACAAATTCAAGAGCCCAGCATCATTCCAGTTAGAGTGAGAGAGATGGAAACACTACCTTCAGAAGCACATAGACCTTGATGGAGGATCTGTGGGAAAACTATAGCTTCACAGTTTTATATTTTTGTGTAATATGTTTTCTATGACTTTTGTAACAGTGCTTTTTAACTTACCTCATAGCTCATGTTCGTTGTTACTGCTATTTTGTCGTGTTGAGTGTCCGCCAACCTAGGGAGCTCATCTTTCAGTATTATATGGAACACTTGTTCTATTCATTCATAGGTTCTCATCAGTTAATTTTCAGAAGTAATCCTCTATATTGCTCTACTGACTTTGAGTCAGGAAGACATATAAGTCAGGAAGACTATGGCCCCTACACCAAACATCACCAAAATGGCCCTAGGAACCATCATTCTCACTCCCTACTGAAGTTCATTTGTTTAGCAATTCAAGACAAAGAAGAGGCAAACTGAAATAATTCTGTCTTTATTCTGTAAATACTGATGAATAAGACATTTTATATTATGGAATACTTAATTTCTACATTTGGTTAAAGTTTTTATTAACTTACAAGAAGTATATACTTTATTGCTATATATAATAATACAGGAAAAAAAACATAATTGCCTGGTCAGAATATCTAAAATGTGAAAGAGTTTATACTATAATCTATAAGACAAAAGATATTATATAAATAAACACATAAGAAAATAATTTTTATGAAATTCCCACAAATATTTTTTTTTTAAAAGTATCTTAGAAATTTTTCAGATCAAAGGGAAAAATTATTTTAAAGTAAATATGAAAAGACGGTAAATGAAAAATAAAAGAAGTTTTCTTTTTTTAATTAAATGACGTAAAGAAGAAATTTTAAAGGAGGAAAAATTTGGAAATAATTTATGTATACAATATGTTACTGGTTTATCTTCTATAAATTTAATTTCAATGACTCAGTTATTTTAGTGATCATAGAAATTCACAAGTGTTTCTTATTCACCTGATGAACTGGTAAATTCCTCAAGTGATAAATTAAGAAAAACCTTTAAGTAGTGAAGATTTACTTAGTTGAAGAAAGATAAAAAGAAGTTACCTTTAATCATTCAATTCTTTAATTAGCACCATTAATTGCTTCAGGTTGTCTGATGCATTAAATATGAAATTAGATCAATTCTTTGGAAAATTTCAAGTGTATCAAAGTTTCAACTTTGAGGGCAACAGTAGAATGTATGGGGGGATGAGGGAGGAAACAAGGCAAACTTATATATCACAATTGGTATTATTAGAAATTCTTGAGGAGACAAAAACAATCACTTTTTAATATGTCAAATACCAAAAGTTATAAAAGAAATATTGGGAAAAATTATTCAGAAGTTTGTTAGGACATCTAAATTATTTAATGTTTTAAGTAATTATAATTTTATGACTTTCAAGCACATTTTTACATCTTTCATTCAGAAAGGATCTTTTTCAGACAGTCTAGTCTAATTGTCAAAAGCAATAGTTTTACTCTGTATTTTTTTAAAAGTATTATTTAATGTTGCTTTTATTTATTTAAGGACACATCATTTAAGGGTGGAATAGAATTCTATAGATTTTTATATAATTCTATCTCTAAGGAAAATCTAAATTAACTATAATCTAGGACATCTAAAAATTTTCTCAGATAACAGAAAAAGGAAAACTGTTAATCACTTCCCTTGGGGACTCATCTTAACGCCTAACAACACACGAGTCAGAAATAGTTTTTGAGTCACCGTTATTCACATAGACTCAGTGAGCTTTCATATGATTTCTGAAAGAAACAATACAGTTGGTAACATCGAAAGAATTATGCCTCATCTCCAAAAACTTGATCTTTCAACGAGTAAACCTATTAACCCTTGCTGTGGCAGAAAGCCATGAGTTCAGCTTCTCTTAATTTCTAGGTAAGTGTCTCCCCACCACATTAGTGATCATTGAGAACAGTTACTTATTATTCTTCTCTGTTTCTTGGCAGGAAAGTGAGTTGAGTGGGCTTTCTTATACAGTTAACCAAGTAGAGTTTGTGTCTTTGGGGCTGAATCATGGCAGGGGAATTTACCTAAAGTAAAGGATATGACAAGATGAATGAGTCCGTGTAAAACCCTAAGAAAAGAGCATGCTTCAAACTGAGTAAACCTGAATGATTAATGAAACTAGAAGTCCCACTGTTCCTAGATGAACCTACTAGACATTGTGTTCTGGAAAATAATGCAACACTGATTGGCTTGAACATCACTGGTCTTTATATAAGTACCAATCACAGATCTGTAGGTTTCAAATAAGGATTAGAATACGTGTTCTTGATATTTTTTCATTTGGCTATACAAATGCACAGTTTGGTCAAATATTGGGAAAAAAATTCCTGCCTCCCCTGTGTGTCCATCTCCACTTTCAATATAAAGTAAGTAATTATGAACACTGCAGTTGTGGCTAACGGCACAAAAGACAATTCCACAGGGCAATTATCTTTTGCTTAAACCAGTGACTTCCTCCCAAAACAAACAGCAATAAATCAAAGCAACTAATTGAAGTTATGCTCAAGAAGATCTCATTATAAAATAGAGCATGAGTATTACAATTAGTTGAGTGTGCCACAACTTGCAAGTAATAGATTCTAAAGAACTGATAGGGAAGGAAACAAATAAAGATGACTCCTATAAAAAAGAGGTTTTTCAATTGGGCACAGAATTCCTGGTGGGATAATAAGGAGTGGCGTATCTTCCGAACCATTGACATAATGATGAAGACTTGCAAGACCAAGAGAATCACTCCGGTAGCTATGACAATGAAGCTTATCACATAGTTGATAGCTCGCACATTCTCATGAGCAAGTTCTAGGTGGAAGGTAAAACAATCCTTTTCATTGTAAGTATTTGAAGCCCCATACTGAGAAACAATCAAGGGCACCACAATGACAATTACTAGCAGCCACATGCCAGTACTGGCGGCCACAGCATGCAGTTTCCTATAGAATTCTACTTTGTCCTTATGCTTAAAAAAGATGAGGTACCTGATGACCAAGATCACAACATAGAACAGGAATGTGAGGTACATGTGAACATGCAACATGGAGCTCACAAACTTGCAGAAGGGCGACTTAAAAGTCCAAGTCTGCTTGATAAGGTAGATCACACGAAAAGGCACCGTCAGGAGAAAAACACTGTGCACCACCACCAGGTTAACAACTGCAGTGGTGGTCACAGACCTGGTGTTCATTTTCACTAGCAGGAACAAAATGGAGATGATACCCAGAAGTCCTCCAATGAACACTGTACAGTAGAGCCAGATTAAACAGGGTGTAAATATAGCCTTGCATGAGCTATTCCCAGACAAACCATTGTCCTTGGTAGCGTTAGAGACATTCATGTTTCAGGAGTTACCTGGAAGAGATCAAGCACCATTGTAACTAACAAGCATCCACAGAACTTTTGTTCATATCATCATCAAAGCATTGGCAATGCATTTCTACAATTTATCTGTTTTGCCTAATGTACACTTCGTGGGCCTTAAAGATACAGACTGTCATACGCATGTTTGTATATCCTAGAACCTAAAAGACAGTAAATCTGATTATTAGTCTTTAATAGAGTAAAATCTCATTGAAATATCCCCAGAATCATACATATATGTACACAGACAAAGCATGTTGCATAAAACTTCAGGAGAATGGCAGACCATCTGAAATGAGAGACTGCAGCGAATATGTAACACTTTTTATGATAGATGGAAAGATAAAAGGATGCTTTAAGTACTTTTTTTTTTTTCTTTTAGGTTTGCTTGTTGTTGTTGTTGTACAGGGTTTCCGAGGGTGTAAATCTTTACGGGAGTAGAAAGCCTCATCTTTCTCCCGCGGAGCAGCTGGTAGTTTCGAACTGTTGACCTTAAGGTTCACAGCCCGATTCGTAGCCACTACGCTACCAGAGCTCCTTACAATGATCTAATTCCTTCCAACTCATCAGCAAATGATCTAAAGACACTCATACATAAATTCACTCTCGTTGCTGTTGTTAAGTGCCATCAAGTCAGTTCCAATTCAGAGAGACCCTGTATATAGGGTTTCTAAGGCTATACATTTTTTTCAGGAGCAGAAAACCTCATCTTTCTCTCATGGAGCAACTGGAATGCTTGAACCACTGACCTTGTAATTCGTAATCCAGTATTTATCATCCAGATTGTGGATTCAAGTAAAATGAAATCCTTGATCGTGTCAATCAATCTTTTCTCCACTTATCATGATATTATTTATCGGTTCAGTTGCAAGGATTTTTGTTTTCTTTACATTGAGTTGTAATCCATACTGACAGCTGTTTTCTTTTTCTTTGATCATCATCGGCAAGTGCTGCAAGATCTCTTTGCTTTCATTGAGTAAGATTGTGTGACCTGCATTTCACAGGTTGTTAATGAGCCTTCCTCCAATCCCAAAGCCATGTTCTTTTTCATATAATTCAGCTTCTCAGATTATTCAGCATACAGATTAAATAAGCATGGTGAAATGACACAACCCTGGCACACACCTTTCCTCATTTTAAACCATTCAGTATCCTCTTGTTCTGTTCAAACAAATGCCCCCTGGTCCATGTACAGGTATCTCATGAGCACAGTGAAGTATTCTGGAATTCCCATTCTTTGTAATGTTCTCTGTAAATTTGTTAAGATCCACACAGTCAAATGCCTTTGCATAGTCAGTAAAGCACAAGTAAACATCTTTCTGATATTCTTTGCCTTTGGCCAAGATCCATTTTTATATCAGCAATATATCCCTTACTCCATGCACTCTTCTGAATCTGGCTTGAATTTCTGGAAACTTCCTGTAAATGTCCTGTTGCAACCATTTTTTAATTATCAGCAACATTTTAGTTGTATGTGATATTAATGATTTTTTCTTATGCTTTTCATATTCTGTTGGGTCACCATTCTTTGGAATGGGCACAAATATGGATTTCCACCAATCAGTTGGTCTTCCAAATTTCTTGGCATAGCACAGCATTAGTTTGTTGAAACATTTCAATTGGTATTCCATCAATTCCTGGAATCTTAATTTTCACTAATTTCTTCAGTGCAGCTTGGACTTCTTCCTTTAGTAAGATCTGTTCTTGAGCATATGCTACATCCTGAATTAATTAAACATCAACCAATTGTGTTTTGTTTTTTTTAATACAATGGCTCTTTGTATTACTTCCATCATTTTTTTTAAACTTCCCGCACCGTTTATTATTCTGTCCATAGAATCCTTCAATATTGCAACCTGAGATTTGAATTTTTTCTTCAGATCTTTCAGATTGAGAAATGCTGAGGCTGTTCTTCCCATCTGGTTTTCTAACTCCATGTTTTTGTGTATTTCATTGTGATAGTTTGTCTTCTCCAGTTGTCCTTGGAAATTTTCTCCTCAGTGTTCTTACTTCATCATTTCTTCCATTGGCTTCAACTACTGTGTATTCAGAAACACGGTTCAGTCTTTTTTGACATCTACTTTGGTTTCTTATTTCTAATCTTTTCAGTGACCTTTTGCTTTCTTCATACAAGGTGTTTTTTTATGTCATTCCAAGAACTCCTTTGGTCTTTGTTCATTAATGTTTAGTGCATCAAATCTGTTCTTAAGATGGTCTCTAAATTCAGGTGGGTTGTACTCAAGGTCATATTCAGGCTTTTGTGGACTTGCTTTTATTTTCTTTAACTTCAGCCTTAACTTTCATATGGACAATTAATGGTCTGTTCCACAGTTGGCCCCTGGCCTTGTTTTGGCTAATGATATGGGCTTTCCCATTTTCTCTTCCCACAGATAGAGCCAATTCAACTCCTGTGTATTCCTTGTGGCACGGGTCATATGTATAGTCACCATTTATATTATTGAAAAAGACACTTGCAATTCTATCATGTCATTTCCAGCATCTTCTCTACCACCAAGGCCACATTTTCCAACTACTGATCCTTCCTTTTTGTTTTCAATTTTCATATTGCAATCACCAATAGTTATCAACACATGCTGATTGCCTATTTGATCAACTTCAGACTGAGGAAGTTGGTGAAATTCTTCAATTTCTTCATCACTGGCTTTGGTGGTTTATGAGAAAATGTGAATAATAGTTATATCAACGGGTCTTTCTTGTAGATATACAGATATCATCCTATCAAAGGCAGCATTGTAGTTCAAGATAGATCTTCAAATATTATTTTTGCCGATGAGCGTGACACATTCTTCTTCAATTTGCCATTCCTGGCATAATACATCTCATGATTGTTGTTGCTGTTAATTACTGTCGAGTCAGTTCCAACCCATAGTGACCCTGTATAGGGTTTCTGAGGAGCAGCTGGTGAGCTTGAACCACCGACCTGGTAGTTCAAATGGCTTACTGTATGATTAACTGACTCAAGATAGTCAATACATGTCCATTTCAATTCATTAATGTCTAGAATATCTATTTGTAACTGTTCTAATTATTTTTTATCATTTCCAGTTTACCTACATTCATAATTTGTACATTCCACCTTCCATTTATCAGTGGATGTTTGTAGCTGATGCTTCTTATTTGGAGTCATGTGTCTTCAGCAAATGAAGGTCCTGAAAGCTTAGCTCCACCCAAGTTACTAAGGTTCCTTGCTTTGAGAAGGCAGCTCTTTCTCTGTGATATTTTGAGTGCCTTCCAACATGAGGGGCTCATCTTCGGGCACTGTATTAGACAATATTTTGCTGCTCTTTTTACGGTTTTCAGGGACTGTTCCTTCAGATATGGGTTGCCTATTCCTTTGTCCTAATCTCTTCTTAGTGAAAGTTCACAGAAACCTGTCCACCCTACTAGTATTTGAAACAACAGTGGGATAACTGCCTGTATCACAGTAACACACAAGCCACAACAATATTACAAATGTATAAATATGTGGGAATACAAAAGTAGAGGACTTATTTTGGATTATTTTAATACTTACTATAGACCTACAGTATTCAAGTCAGTATAGCCTTGCATTAGAAAACTATGAACAAAACTAAAGATGCTAAAAATAGACCTGTATATTATTGATTTCTAAGAAATATGCCAAAACATTCAATTATAAGAGGTTCTAGGATAATTATATATTCATGCAAAAAAAATTTACCTTTAAATTACACACATACAAAAGTTAACCAAAATGGTTCACAGACTTAATAGGAAGAATTAATTAAAACAACAAACCCGCTAGATGACACTAGGAGAAAATTTTATGGCTTTGGACTTGGCTAAATTTCTTAGATAAGACTGGGAAAAGCATGAACTATAGAAGAAATAAAATACAAATTGGACTTTGTCAAAATTTAAAACTGCTCTCCAAAGACACTCTTTGGAAAATGAAAGCATAAATCCATACTGTAAGAACAATATTATAAATACATATATGGCAATAGACATTTATCCTGAATATTAAAAAGAACTCTTATAAATTAATAATAGAAAATGAAGATCTCAGCTTTTTAAAAAACTGGGCAAAATATTTGAAAAGACATTTTATCAGCTATATATAATGGCAACCATGTCCAAGATAATGTACTCAGCATCACTGGTTACTATGGAAATGCATATGAAAAAATGCATAACTACGTGTTACCATTACATACCCACTTTAATGCTAAACTTGAAAGAACTGTCAACACCAAGTGTTGGAAACTACACAGAGGAACTATGAAATATTATAGCCACTTTGGAAAAGAGCTAGGCAGTTTCTTAGAAAATTTGTCATTTCAAAGAAACTGATATTCACTTACGAATATGTATTCAAGAGAAGTAAAAATATATATCTTCACATTAGCTTGAATTGAATATACATAGCAGTTTTACTTATAATGGCCCAAAACAAGAAATAATCCAAAATTACAAGTGTCAAATTGATGAAGAAATTAATAAAATTGAATGTTACCAAATAATAAAATGTACCAGCACACTATCAATACAAATACAGTCCTCGTTTGGCACTGTGGGATAATGTACTAGACTGCAAGTTTGGTTTGGACCACAAGGACAGTGGTTCAAATTCACCAGTCACTTCTCAGAAACCCCATACAGGGTTGCTATGAGTCAAAACCAACTTGATGACACTTAACAACAACAATAATTAACACACATAAAAATATTGATTGGTCTTGAAAGCATTATCCTCAATTATGTATTCTCAGTGGGACAATATTACCTCCACGGGGGCAAAAATTCATTATTAAGGGCAAAAACTCCCTTTCATTTTTATGTATAAAGAGCAGATACACATACAGTACATAAACAGATGAAGTTATCATCTGTAGTGTTAAATTTTCATAAGGAGTGATGATTAGGGGGAAAAATATGTCTAAAAAGGCCACTTGCTTTGTAGCAAGTAGCTACAAATGTACATCACCAATTTCT